TGCCAATAGATCCTCCCAAATGTTCCACACTGGACCTCTCATTTATCACTCAACACATTTGGTTTACAAACACCTGCAAAACTGACATTCACATCAGTTTCACTTTGTGCTTAGTGTCTGTTAGCTCCATCTATTATAAGACGGTGAACACGGTCCATTCACATTGTCATTTTAAACATATTAGCATGCTGACATTAGCATGCACCACTGTGCCCATGTATAGCCTCATGAAACCTGTTAGACTCTAAGCAATCCAAATCTTTTACAGTGTGATCTTATATTCTTACCTTGGACATAGGCTGAACACTGGACCGTCTGTCTGCCCAACTGCAGCTGCAGACCTGTCACTGAGCTGCTCACACCACATGGTGAACTGTCCTGACTGGGCACCAGTCTAATAATACACACAGACACAGAAAAACTTACAGTTGCTACCTCAGAAGTGGATTTCCTCAGTATATGTCACTCTAAATTTGATCAGCTTTTTATTAAAATGTCAATCAAAGGTTTGTGTAGCTGAGATTTTATGAACTAGCAGTTTGAAGACCAACTACATCAGTTTTATCAGCTTTCACTCTTTACCTTTTACCTTTAGAGTTGATATGAAAGTAAGATGAGAACAAAATGTCACATCCTCATAATACTCTTAGGCCACAGACGGAGCTTTATTTGGCATTTTAATGTCTTTTCTTAAAGATGAAGGTGATGTCGGGTCTTAAAGCGTCTGGAAAAACCTTCCTTAGGAGCTTAGAGGCTGTCAAATTTAAGCTATTAAAAATCTCCGTAAAGCTTATTTCTTTGCCAATTTTGATAATGTTAAAAATCAGTATTTGCTTTTGACTGATCTGATTGTCAAAGCACTTTGTACATTCCTTTAAAAGTTTTAAAAGGTAGCAGCTAATATATGTGTCGTGAGTGTATTTGTAGTTTAGAGCAGTCCATTTCTTACCCCAGCCTCTGGCAGCAGGAGGTGGAGATGTGGTTATGTTGGCTGCCAGTGTTGATGGATGCCTTGACTTCAGTCTCGCAGCACTGTGGGGAAGACAGAGGGGAGAGTTTGGTGTCACAGTGTGATTTTTCCACTTCAGTCTGGCACCAACGCATGCGAGGAAACAACCAGTCACAATAGCACATTAACACAGTTCTGGGGAGCCTTGGAAAACCACAGATCTCTTTTCTTTTGAACAAATCTATTCACTTTCCACATGCTTGTGAAAGTGCCAAACTGAAAAATAAAGTCCAAGTCGACTGTTAATCAACTCCCAGTGGTGCAGTATTTCCAATCCAGCTCCTTGTTTTTTGAGCCAAATGTTATTTTGTGTTTTTAGCTTGATCTGTATTGATTCTGTGTTGGAGCCATAAATCACAACTCTTCCGTTTATTGCTGCAGGCGTCTGGTTCAGTTAATAATCAAGTTATAAATAAACCAACAGGACACTCTGTTTACCATTACAGATGGCATGAGTTGTTTTTTTGATTATTGCTGACTCTATTTACTGACAGGATGCAGATTCTTCAGTTTGTTAAGTGGACTTTGATTTTTTTAGACTTAATGATCTCAAAAGAGTCACTACAGCATAAAATATTAATCAAGTGAGTAATGCATTTAACTCAACCAAACAACTCCATACTGAAGAGGAAGTGATCTATGACAAGTCACATGGTTCATTGTACAAACTCAAATCTCACTGCATTGCAGAATTAATGATGATTTTTAACTTTAAAGCAGTTAATCACTGTTTTTTATAATACGAAGTAACAGTATGTGAAAGGAGTTGCTCGTATGGACAACCTCATGTAAAATATCAGTCACTCTACAAAGCTTTTTAACATCATTCAGCTCATAGTTTTGGTTTTCTAGCAACCAACTTTACTGTTGTAGTTCACTTCTATCACTCTCATAGTGTCGTTTTCGACAGGAAAACAGTTGTTTTCAGCACTAAAGCTCTTAAACGCCACTGTGCACTAACTGACAACCACTAACACACACAGTTAGCAATAGCAACTAGCTGGTGAAGGTAGTGAAGCATATAGGCCTACAGCTGCAGCTGAAGAGCAAGATATTTGTATTAGGAGTTCTTAGAGATCAAAAACAGAGATACAAGAGAGTGAATATTAGACTTACATTCACCAGGTGGACACAAAAACAACTCAAAATGAATTGCTGCTAACATTGCTCTGTTTCTGCTACTCAACGGTATGCTAACAAGTTTACAGCTTGTGCCCCAAAGTGGCAAAAAAATCAGTTTATAGTGATAGTTTAACATTTTGGGAAATACACTTATTCCCTTTTTATTGCCAAGAGTGAGATGAGAACATTGATACCAGTCTCATGTATGTCAGTCAAATATGAGGCCTAATTCTGTTCAAAAGTTAAAAAATACAGCCATTATATTATTATTATTATTATCACTGTAGCAATGTTATATATTGCTTGCTTTATCCATACAAAAAAATATGTGTAAAAACACTACACACACACTATCTAAGCTAACTGTATTATGGCTCTAGCAGTCTCCAAGTTATGATGTTGCCATCGCAACAATTAACTCATATTCAACCAATCCCTGTGAATTATATACATGACCTTGCAACTTTAAACAATCATTGTAATGTCCTGAAAGTTTCTGCAATCATAGCAGGCTCCCAGGAAAAATGTTGAGCCATATGTCTCCAAACTACTCGCAATTTTTTCAGTTTGTACTTTCATTGCAAAAAAAATGCCTAAAAATGTTGCAACATGCATCCCAATTGTTTAGAAAAGCTGCCATGAAATCAGCATTTTAGGATGCAACAATCCCACAAAAAGCCTGTGAAATCCTGGAGATATAAGAAAGAAGCGAAGAAAGCAAATAAGTGTGTATATTTCCCCATCATTTAAGCTACAGTTTTACAGTAGTAGTGCTAACCGGCAGCTTGTCCTAATTTCCACTGACATTTCTCTTCTCCTGCATCTCACATTTGCTCTTGTTGGCTGCAGGGCACTTCATGTCACAAAGACGTATTTCATAAAGCAGGGGAAAGTCTATAGTGCAGCAGATTATAGTGCAGCAGATTGTAATGGTTTATGGGAACTGCCTTTTCTATTCAGCAACCTCTTCCTTGATCTCATGCAACCTGTACACAAGTGGGAACAAGTAATGTTCGAATGAAGAATGTATTCAGGACATATGGTTCCTCCGCATGCATGTGAGATAAGCAGTATGCTGGCACCACCCCCACACTGTTAACTGTGTATCAGACCATGTATAAATTAGATGTTTTTCCCGAAATGCAAATAGCCACATTACTCTTGTTGTTATTTTTAATGATTCAGCTTTCATATAAAATGCAGTCCAGGAAACAGTTCTTAATTTATATTTATGGAACATGGTTTAGGTCCTCACAGGCAGAGATGTCAAAATGCTTGACCTTGATGAGCTAAGAATACTAATATATAAGCAAGCAATACTGACATATTTGAAACAATTAAAGTGGAAGTAAACCCTGCACAGACTCTAAACCACAATATTAAATTAATATCACCCAGTTTCCTTCCTGAGATGTACTTAGAGCCGCTGAAAGACGAGGTAACATAAAAATCTTTGGTATATATCTGATAGCTCCACAATCTAAACAGTAATGTAGATTTAGTGTGTGTTAAAAGTAAATGCATTTTTTGTTATGTGTAATATTTCTGTTTCCTTTCATGTGACTTCTTTAATATTTTCATGTCATGACCCTTAGGATGACAATGTCAGTCCATTACTTAGGGTCCTTTTTGGGTCCTAACACTTTGGTTTCTGACCAAATATGTTCAAAATCAGCCTCAGCTGTACTTTGTATGAACATGGTCAACATTATACCCACTGCCTGAAATGAGCCAGTACTCACCAGTACTGAGTATCGGCACTGATTTTTGTCCAATATGGCCGTACCCACCACTGAGGTCACCAGTATTTTTTTTGCAGAGACAATAAAAATTTGCAAAATAATAAAAATAACCACTTTGATGCTTTCATGCATGCCCCCCAAAACCTGCGTAACTGCGTCACTGTGTATCACCTCTAATTACTGTTGCAACGTAATTCATATAGCAACAATTAACGCATAGTCAGCCAATTCCTGTGAATTCTACACGACCTTGCAATTTTGACCAATCATCATTCTTACACTAAAAAGCACTGAAAATGTCCTTGTTAAAAAGGATAGAAACCGCCAAAAGAATTAGGGTTATGTTGTTTTTAGGGTTAGGGTTGTGCTGAATTAGGGCACTGGCACCTTTTTTGGTCAAATTCAGGCACTGGTTGTACCTGCTTAACATCAGCTTGTTAGCATCAGCCCCTCCTAGATATTTATTAATATATTAGATGTATTATTGTATCTGTGTCACCATTTTTGGGTATTCTTGTGCTCTTGATTGAGTTTTCATTGCGTACTTGTGCTAACAATTTAAACTGACAAAGAAAAACATTTATGACTACATATTTTTGCTTAAATCAAGGAGCAGCTGCCATATATTAAAACATTGTCCCACATCTACTGTGGTTTTTACTGTCCAGCACCCAATCTGGTTCCTGTTTCTGTATATCTTTCTCTCCCCGTCATCCCCGTCATAAATCAATACCATATCCACTTGACCCGAGGATATTTCCCCCCTTGGAAATAAACACGTTCAGTTTCCGTGAGCCTTGTTTTGATCTCTCACACTCTGTACAGACTGAGCTGAGCCCCCTTTGTCCTCACGGGCACACCGGCTTATCAGCAGGCCCACAAACCCCGCTCTTTTGTCTCAGTCCTGGTGGTGCAGAAATCCCTCTCTCTCCCTGAAGTTTAAAAATAGCTTCCCGAATGAGTAACTGAAGAACACTTTGCATTCAATAAGTTGATGATAAAACCGAGCAAAGCACAATGAGTAATAGGGGAAAACGCTGAATCTACCAGAAAAGTGGACTACTAATTTTACACTAGCTGTGCTACATACTTTAACACAACAGGGAACAGCAGCTGTTTGATTACTGTATTGATTTCCTTCAAAGGATAAAAAATGTCTCTGTCCTTGGTGTCATACAGTGCTGCAATTCTCTCCAATCAGGATCCAAAAGGCCAAAATGTTAGCTATTAAATTTTGCCCTTGAGATAAGTATTTCATACTGGCATCTATGTATCTACTACCTTGATAAAATTTACTAGAGAATTAGATTTTTTAAAAATGCAACGTATATTTGTTTTGATTAATCACTTCAAGTGAGACCTTCCGATTGCTCGTTTTGTCTGATCAACAGTCCAAACCCAAAAGTATTCAATTTACAATTATTATAAAAACAGCAAATTTTTGGCCCTTTTGCTTGATAAATGAGTTATCAACTATCAAAACAAATCAATCCATCCTTTCAGCATTAAACACCAGTTTTAGAAATCTATATATTGTATCAGAGCATGTTAAGAAATGTAGAAAGTAAAAATTTTATTATTAGTTTTAGCATTATTATTATTATGAAGACTAAAGAAAGGAGGGAAAGAACCTGCTCTATGCATTTTTATGTAATGTCAGTTATTCAATGTTGGATGTCTGTTTTTGTCAATACTTTATATAAAACATCACCATTTCAACCAACATTTTGTTAATTATCAGCCGTCTCTGGTGGCTTGATATGAAAAATCAGCTTGAGGACAGACTGAATCGCTCCTTGAGATTTGGTGTGACCTTTCTGCATACATTAATCATTGGAGTGTTGAGAGCGTGTTAGATGGGGGACCACAGGGAGCATCTCCATGTGAAACCAGACAACCATTAATGCCTAATGTGCTTCAGAAAAGACAGTTAATAAAAAAGCACAAATACTGAGTCACTGCATGCATAATGGTGCAGTTTTCTACTTTGTTTTCTCTACTAACGGGGTTGTTTGAAATGCTATGTGGTCTTACACTAAAACACTGATAGACTGATAATGCAGTCACTCTCTGGGTTATTTATTTAAGTGGCACTTCGCTGATTTTACACATGAAGGTCAGTTTGTTTGTCACAACAGCTACTACTCCATAAAACACTGGTATGGAGTCTTCTGTGGCTCTAAGGATAACCTTCATGATGTCATCAGGGTCATTTTTGGCTTGAGGCTTAAAATTGTGTGTGTGTTATAAACCTGGGATGTGCAGTTTGAAAGATGTGGACATTTACCAGGCGGGTATATGAGCGGTATTGTGGTAAATGTAGGATCCAGTGCATGACCTAAACTAGAGACTAGGCAAGCTCAGAATCCATTTGCTATCGTCTGACGATACAAATGATTTAGCGTCTGGGCCAGCGGTCAATGTTTTCAGGGTGCAAGAATGCCATTATTGACAGTAGCTGCTAGAGAGTTAACAGGAAATAAGTGGTGTGAGAGGTGCCAGCTTGGTCATGCACCAGTTTCTTTGCTTAGTGCTGAAAAGTCTGCAACCTTTGATGTGTACATATTGCTGAGCTGTCGTCTTTATTGGAGTTGTCAAGTAAACACCCAAAAGCTCAATGTAAAACCAGCAAACCTTGTTTTCTCTGTCCCTTTAAATGGATTTCTTTGTATGATACAGATTGTTAACCTGCATACATCTTCATGTGTAATCTATTTTCTAGAGAACGTCCACAATAACACCTATTTATTCTAAAGCAATATCAAGATCTTGTTACCAAACGAGTTGGACAAAAGAATATTATACAATGTGACCACCAGCAGATAAGTACCGTTACACAATAAGCACACAGTAAGTGTTAAGAGCCAGTCATCAATAAGGAGCCGCACACTGTCTGACTGTAGACTTAATACGTCTCATTAATGTTATATAGAAGAGGTGTGCAGCCATACATTTAAAAAAAATAGTCTTGATTAGCTTTCTGTGAGACTGTCACTGCATACTACAGTCAAGTGGGCCCAAATGAGCAGTCATCCATGAGGGGCTAGAAGAGCTAACGTGGGATACAAGCGGGAAAAACTAGACCCCAAGTGAGAGGGTTACCTGTTGGTTGCCTGTATGTGTTTTAATATGCATCTGCACAAATTTGAATACAGTTTATTCTTTCCCACTTTTTGTCCTGAGGCCCACGCAGGTTTTTTTTTCCATTTCAAGCCCTTGTGCACTTTAGTCCTGTAACCAACATTTAATCAATTTTGGACACGTGCACACGTTAACCACGTTGTACTTTTAGTGACTCAGTTATCTGTTGTTCTGATCCAACCAGACAGGGTCCTGCCAGGCTTTTGATGTGTTGTAAAGAGAGAATAAATGAAGAGTGGGCCTTAAGTGATGAGTCATGAGAGCAGAATGGTGCTGTCTTTGTATTCTCTCTCGTTTTCAGTTTTTTATGCAGTAGTAGAAGCTGTCAGAGCATTGAACGTGAGCGGGGAGAGAGACATGCAGGAGTACACACTGAACACAGTGCAGTACCTTGCATTGAACAACCAGAGCTGTGAGGAGGGTCGAGCTCTCCGTGCCCTCGGCCTTCTCAGCTGTCTGTCTGGCTCCGGCTTCGCTGCTGTCGTCCTCTTCGTCCGACCGTAGGCTCCTCTCGCTTTCCTCCAGAGACTCCCTCTCCTCCGTGGAGTCGTCGGCTGTGCTCTCGCTCCTCTCCTCGGCGTCAGCAGGCCCGTCCTTGGTGTCGGCCAACGGGGAGCGAACCCTGGCGCTTTGGTCCCGGGCCTCACCTCGCAGCCGCGTGATGTTTCCCTCCATCAGGCGGCGCTGGACGATGCTGTGAGGTTGCTAGAGGGAGAGGCATAAGATAATTGGATGTCAGATGGCAGGTTTTTTTTAGAAATTAGTAGAAATGGAAGATGCGTTGAGTATCCCCAACATATATGGTTATAGATTCTCAAATGTCTTTCTTGACCTTATGTTATCTTAAATTGAATATCTTTGGATATTGGACTGTTGGTCAGACAAAACAAGACATTTAAAGATATTTTTTCACTGCACATCAAATCCAGGATATTTAGAGTCAAACAATGTGAGGTGGCAACTGTATAGTGAGTAAACTCAATGTATGTCAGAGGATAAGTGAAATCTGCATGTCTACCCCCGTTTGCATTTTGAAAAGATAAATATTTATAGTCTTATTATCTATACAGAGTACGTCACAGATAGCTTGTGACGCAGCATACATTTAATCTGAATAAAAAACAATATAAGTAGGTCATTGTGTTAAAGGAACATGTCAGTATAACTACAGTGTTTCCAGATTATCTATACATTCAGAGAAAATTATATTTTGCTCCCACAGCAGTGATAATAAAGCTTATTATTGCACATTAATGCAGGCAAAGATGTAATATTAGGTAATTACCACACAGACAAACAGTAAATTAATCTAACTGCATCAAATACAAGGTAAACTGCACCAGTTGACTGCTAGAGTTTGGATTTCTGCTTGTATTTGTCCATAAATGGTCTGTATTGATAATGTCAAAGCAATGACATTAGTATTGATTGAGCCGGGAAAGAGATCATTTGTGTACATGAATTACTAAGAGTAGATTTCATTACAAATGCCTAATTAGATTTTTCCCCCTAAATACTGCATGCTATGCAGACTGTTGATTTACAGTCCTTGTTATTTAAATTCAAGCTCCTTGAGATAAAATACAGTTTTCAGACTTGGGACCCCCCCCCATGAATGTGACCAGGTTATGAATGAAGTGATGGATACTGTCTTCCATAGAGCTGCATTCGAGAGATGGTATGTTATGTATACTTATTGCCTGTGGATTTTTGGCATTAGGTTAAGCTTAGTTTTGAATCCAAGTTATAATTGTCTGAGCATTACAAAAAATTCTTTCTAGACGAGTCCCACAGAAACAAATTTAAGCCAAATGTTATCACACTGCAGCAAGTAGAAACCATTTTAACTGTGGATGCTGAGGTGAGGTAGAGATTTAAGTAAGCGTAGCATTGGCCGACGCATTTCAGAACTTCCTTCCTGCCCTCTTTTCCTGCCCCTCCACACACAAAATAACACACACACTGAGATTTAAATTGCTAACTTTAGCTTCAGTGCAAAAAATTTGCTTTCCAAACTACCTGAAATGAAGGTCACATTATCATGTCATGAAAGCCAATTCAACACTTTCAGGTCATCACTGTCAGCAGGCGTGAAATGATTTTCTTTTTGCTACACAAGCCTGGTGGCTATGTTTTTTGCTAACACACTCTTCTCCTGTGTCACCTCCAGTCTTTCAGTAGACAAAAGCAGTTGCACACCCTTCAGAATAAATTCACAAAGCACTTAGAAAAGACAATGTTTTGACAAACTGTTCTTTATGGCTACAGAAACACATTTCAGACTATATTTAATGCAATACAGGCATGTCATTCTGTAAGGTACGTTAACATTAAGCTGTATATATTTCATGGTGTGTTGATCTTGATTAATGACACGTTTCCACCGTTTCAAAACAACACGTGGCCACTGACTAGCTGCTCTGTGGATCATTTAAAAAGTAAATTTTATTTAAGTTGCCTGTTCCTCTGTAATCACATTGCCGTTCACCAGTACGTATTCTGGGCACAGACATTCAGACAGCAAGCTTTAAAAAGAACAGGACACCCAACACCAGCAGCCGCTGCATTAATAAAGCACAAAGCATTTGCTTTCCTTTCAAGGGTTTTTTTTAACACTAAAATACCAGGATATTTAAGGCATGTTTACTTGAAAGCACAAGTAATTTTAGCTCCAAACACATACAAAAAGATTAAATCTTATAGAGAAGTTTAAGAAAATAAATTGTTTTCAATGAGAAAATAAAGACAAAATGAACAACCTTTGGTTTTCTTACATCTGGACTGTTGCCTTACAATATGGTCAAGTGATGTAAAAAAAAGCATCTGTATAAGCTTCAGGAAGTTAAGAATAGAGCATGCATCTGGTCCTGCACTGTTAATCTAGAAGATCAATTGAGAGAATGCAGTCTGTGCTAGCTGAAGGTGTAGAAGAAGCTGGTTTACTCAAGATAATCTTTGTTAGGGATGAGCACTGTTACAAGCTAGACAAGGAACAATGAACAAGAGCTCTTCCACAACCCAAACATAATGCTTTAAAGTGGCATATTTTTATGTTAACAATAGATCACATAACTACTAACTAAAAATAGTTGCTCAAGATGAACCCACAGAGAATCGGTTCCCATCATCTCTACAGAGCTTTTTTAGCATCTTTACCGCAACTGTACTGTTTTGGTTCACTCTCACTGCTCATCCGTGTAGTTCCCATCAGGGCCTAGCTGCTTTCAGTGGAAAACCTCTAAAAACCTACTGTACACCACCAGCACAGCACCAAATATCAGACAAACAAATATAGCATCTAGTTGGTGAACATAGTGTAGCATTTAGCAGCTAAAGAGACAGATATTACCCTCAGGAGTTAGTGTGGATTTTAAATCAGAACTAAAAGAAGATTGGACTTTAAGCATGAAATGGACACAAACACGACTCCACATAAATGATAGTGTTGCTTTGTGTCTGCTGAGGTGTAAATAATTAACTTCTGTTACAATTTGACGCTATATAAATAAAATTGGATTGAATTAAATTAGCTTGTTGGCAATAATCTCCATGGCAAAAGGAAGTGCAGTCATTAGTATCCTGTAGTATTGGAAGAGGGCACTTCAACAGATCACAAAAGTCAATATGATTCACCTTTACCAAATTTAATGGAAACTCTTGGATCAACTGACTCAGTAGCTGCCTTACCAGCCAACATTGGCATCTGCTGAGCCATAAAGTCACAGTGTAAGTATCTTGGTTGTGCGCCAGTCACAGAAAGGACATCCCCATCTGCCTACCTATTCTTACATGCTCTGTATTACTCAGCCTTGGATTTCTACCACCAGTCGTACGCACCTGTTGCCTGCCTCCATCTGCCCCCTCTTTGCGAATCAACAGGCCTTCAGTCACTACACTTTAATAGAAATTGCTGCGTCCACTTCACAATGCTCCCATTGGAGAACCCTTTAAATATCGCCACTGATGCTGCTGTGAGTAGCGGCAACGATTTTCACGGACTGGAGAGTTTTTTTTCTGGGTCACTCTGGGGCAGATGTGCTGACATTATGGGTCATCTTACACCTCGTTTCTTAGAGCATAGACAGTATGGTGGCTGACTGGAGAAAAAACTGGATGTGTGATTTGTTCTTAGATGACACATTCTGGATGATAGCATTGTGCGCTATCACAAAGGTAGTGGTCAATTAGAGCTGCCGACCTTCTTTTGTCTGCGAGGGAACTCCATCCAGCAACTGGGATTGTGCGACTCTGACTCTTATTAAAAGAATGCAGGAAGAGAAAAGATAGAACCGGCTATGTTTCTTTTCCACATTACTGGTCATTATTTGATGTTCTGCTCTGATTAACAGGCACACAGCAAATGCTAGATTGTGCTCTTAAAGTATTCCCTGAGCAGAATTTGAATGAAGACAAGGACGATTTCATGGGCTGGCAAGCAGCAAGGAATCAGAAAAATATGGAATAAATAAGAAAAAAAAAAGCATCAGGGCTGAAAACACCAAGGCTTTATAACCTTAACATGGCTGTAATGATGTCATCTCATGCCTGGCCATGTCTGAGTGTATGTGGTCTCACTCTGTGTGTGATCTGTCATTATGTTTTACTGGCACTTTGTGTCAGACATCCATCTGTGGATCTGCAGCTCAATCCAACACCTCTACAAATAATTTTGGAGTGATTTTTTGGAAGCCTGTCGGGTCAAAAAGCACAGATTCACCTCAGATACTGTAAGAGAACAGGCTCCTTGTTCCTTCTGTAGTAGATTTCTTGCGATGCATACAGTCAAGCGCTCTCTGTCATCCACTAGGCTTCCTGTCCAAAACAACAACACTTCAAACTAGTAATCACCACCCGTGTCACCGAGTTCAATTTAGCGCATTCGTTCCTCTCCGAGCTCCAGCTGCGGCTGAGCAGCTCTTAGCTGGTTTAAAAACAGGCAGTGATGATAGCTTCTCCTCCTCTTTACTCCTCTCCTCCCCTTTCCTCTCCTTCCCTTCCATCCCTTATTAATCCTCTCTCCTCCTCGTATCCTTTTCTTTTCTTTTCTCATATCTCCTCTCCTCTCCTCCTGTTTCCTTTGCTCTTTATTTATCCTCTCCTCTTCTCCCCTTGTCTTCTCATCTCCTCTCTTTTCCTAATTTCTCCTCTCTCTTATTGGTCCTTACCCTTCATTCTCTACCTTTCCTTGTCTTAGCTTTCCTTTCCTCTCATCTCGTCTCCTGGTTTTCTTTCTTTTTTTGTGTTTCTCCTCTCCTCTAATGTCATCTCCTCTCCTCGTTTCCTTCCGTTTACCTTCTATTTGTTTCTTTTCCTTTTTCTTTTCATTACCTCCATGTTTTTTCCTTTCCTTTCATCCCCTTTCCTATTGTTTCCTTCCATGAGCTTGAATTTCTTTCTCTCGCTTTTTCTCGTCTCCTCTCCTTGTCTTCTTCTTTTCTGTTCATTAACTTGCATTATTAACATTCCTCGTATTGTTACCTTTCATTTCCCCCATTCTCTTTCCCTTTCCTTTTTTCTTATTTCTCCTCTCCTTCTTCCACTTGTTTTTTCCCTTTTCTTCTGCACGTCTTTCCCTCTCCTCTCCTCTCTTTCCTCTCCCACATCATTTCTCCCTGCCTCTCCTCTCTTCTCCTTATGTCTCTCATTGCAATCAGTAGAAATCAAGACCATATTTTCTGCTTTCCATTGATTACATTTATTCCGTA